GCAGAAGCGGCAGCCCAGTCGTCGCTGGAAGGAGGAAACATGGCCCTGGCCATCTTCATCCCCGTCCTCATCATCTCCTTGCTGCTGGGAGGAGCCTACATCTACATCACCAGGTAGGCTGAGGCAGGAAGCAGCAGGAGGGCTGAGAAGCGGCATCCAAGACAGACACCTTTGCTGGTCCCCAGGAGCCTCTCCTTTCGTGGGGACATGGACAGTTCACAGTGTCGGGCACTCCGGCTCCCTCACACCGTCACTCACTCACTCATCTGTGCACTCACAGCGGAGGGCGAATGGACGTTGTCCGGGCCCTGCAGGTCGCAGACTTGCACCTGATGAAGAAGGCGGTGTAGACCAGGATTGGCGGAGTCGCTAACACATCCAGGGTCACACTTACCTGCTGTGTGCCAGGCAGACTCTGGGCCCTGGGGACATCACTGTGAACACAACAGAAGGAGTCTTTGCCCTCTCAGGCCTCGGCTTCTAATGGCAGAAGACAGATAACAAGCAAAGCATAAAAGGAAATCATGGGGTAGATTCGCAGGGTGAAATACAGAAAGGAAAGGAAAACCGGAAAGAGAGAGAAGGGGCTGAGGGAGAGAGGTGTGGTTGCATTATTAAATTAGTAGGTGGAGGAGGCCCCACTGAGAAATGGAAAGCTTTGAGCAAGGGTGTAAACAATGAGTGAATCATGCAGAGGAGGGGAGAGGAGGGAATCAGGTGGAGAACAGGCATGTGTGTGCAAAGGGCCTGAGGCTGGCTCGAGCCTCTTGCGAGTCACCACTGCCTTCAAGGAGTTCAGTGGAGTACAGGGGAAGAGAAGAAAGCAGAAAGTGGATGGTAACTCATTAAGATGAGCACAGTGGAGGGAAAACCCGCCTGGGCCCAGGAAGTGGGCCAACTGCTCTCGTCCCCTAGGGCAGAATCTCCGCTCTAAGAGAGCTGCCCTTGAGTCTGCTGTCTCTCCTCCAGGTGTCGCTACTACTCCAGTCTCCGTTTGCCCCTCATGTACTCCCACCCCTACAGCCAGATCACCGTGGAGACCGAGTTTGACAACCCTATCTACGAGACCGGGGTGAGTCGCTCCCTCCTGGCCCACTGGCAGGACTGAGGCTGTGGTCCCCTGGTCCCTCACATCCCCTGCTGCGCTCACCTCCAGGGCTCCCACCCTGTGGCAGGTGCTCAGAGTCAGAGGAGCTGGAGAACCCAGGGGAGGAGGGGCTGTGCCGAGACCCCCAGAGGAGGAGGAGGAGGAGCCAGTGCTCGCCCGGGCCTGGAGGGCAGGCGTGGGCATCCTACGTGTCTGGCTGAGCCCTGCTCCTTACCGAGGGCACAGCGCCGCCTTCCTGCACCCGAGAGGCAGCCCTGTGCTGGGGACGGGAACACGGTGCTGAACCAAGTACCCTCATTCAATGGCAGGGTACCTGCTCAGAACCACGCCTCTCGGGTGACTGCCCCTGTGTGGACATCCGCGGTGGCTTCCCAAACCCGAACAGTGCAGGTCCCCACTTGCTGTGGCTCTTTCATTTTATTTTATTTTGTTTGTTTTCAATTTTATTTAGCGGTACCGGGTGTCGAACCCAGAACCTTTGCACTGAGCTACATACCCAGCCCTTTGTTGTTTCTTCTTTAGAGGCAGGGCCTTGCTCGGTTGCCAAGCCTGGGCTCAGATCCCAGAGTGCCAGGGAGACAAGTGTGCAGCAGCACACCTGCCTCACTATGACTTCTCCATGTGGCCAAACAGACCAGGTGGGGTGGCTCGCACCCCAACTGCTCAGGAGGCTGAGGCAGGAGGATCCCAAATTTGAGTCCAGCCCAAACAACTAAGCAAGAACTTGTGTCAAAAGAAGAAGAGCTGAAGATGTAGCTCTATGCTAGGACGCTTGCCTGGCATGGACTAGGCCCTGGGTTCCATCCCCATCACTGAGGGGGTGGGGACAGAGAGACAAGAAAGACAGAGAGAGACAGAACACAGGAGATGTACAGCGGCCTTTTGACGTAAGGAGAAGTATGTGTAAAATAAAACTACAGCGCAGTGAATGCACAGAAGAGACACTGTGACTTGGTCATTTACTGTCTGCCCAGGGCAATGCGCTCGGCCACGGCCTCAGCCCGCGGCCCCCTGAGCTTGCACTCTTCAGAGATGCGCATCCCTGGGAACGATCTGTGTCCCTGGGCCAAGCACTGGGTGCAGTGTCCTGCATCCGTGCAGTGCTGCTGACGCTGCACCGAGCCGAGGTGCGCAGCTGGGAGCCGGGATGCACTCAGCCTGCCCATGACGAGCACAGCTATGATAGGTTATCGTGTTATGGTAAATTAGGGCACCGTGAGCGTGTAGGACCAGGGGACCTGGAGGAGGGTGCAGAGATGTTTTGGAGGAAGCGATGGCACAGTTGACAGGGTGAAGATGGTTAGAAGTGACTGCAGAGGATGCCAGGCAGAAGGAGGGGCACGTGCAAAGGCCCAGAGGCTTCTCCTGGCTGAGCAAGGCCACCCCGTCATACTCACTGGGCCACAACGTCCGTCACCCCCAAGTGTCTGTGGGGGTGGAAATGACCCGTCCTTGTCCCTGCTGACTTCACTGTGTCCTCTACCCGGTCCCTCCGTGTTAGACGGGTAGGGACCTATGACAACACATTCTGATCTCATCACTTCTATAGGGCGGGAATCCAGGCCACTGTCAGTGCCCCCGCTGGGGCTGCAGCGCTCACCCAAGGCTCACCCATTGGTTGTCACCAGTCAGTTCCTCCTGTCCAAAGATCACGTTCTTTTAGACTGTCGTCCCTGTTTGTTTTGGCACTGAGGATTGAACGTAGGGACACCGTACCACTGAGCTGTATTCCTAACCCAGTTTTAATTTTTTATTTTGTGATAACATCTCAGTGAGTTGTCCAGACAGGACTCAAACTTGCAGTCCTCCTGCCTCAGCCTCCCTCGGCACTGGAGTTACAGGTGTGCACCACCGCACCTGGCTGCGGTCTGTCACCCAGAGGCCACCTTCAGCCCTTCCCCTGTGGCCCTCTCCCTAGAGCAGCTCACACAGGGCCCACCCCAGGAGGAGGAGCTCACACAGGAATATGGACACAAGGCAGGGGACCACGGGGAAGTCCGCCCACCTCACTGCCTGTCCGCCGGGAGGCCTAGGTGTGGTTGCTCCTCTGTGTTGGTGTAGTAGGAACTGAAGACCCGGCTGAAACATGTGCCACCTCCAAGGCCGAGCCCACGGCTTCTCCCGCCTCCCTGTTCCCCACCTGTGAGCCTGGTAACCACTCTGCACCTGGCCACCCCCACATGTTGCAGGCTTTTTCAGTGCCCCGGAGAGAGCAGACACGTTTCCCCCATGCTCTAGGTGGCTTGTGGTCAAATCCTCAAACAAGGTCAGGCTGATGGGAAATGGCCATCAGTAGACTTTGTGGAAACGGGAAGGGGATGTAGGTGAGGCAGAGGAGGGAGACGGTGGGAGGGTGGTCACAGGTAGGTAGACAGATGGCCCTGTGATGGATGTATTAATTAGGTTTCGCAGGCGCGTTCTCATTTTTAACAAAGAAAAATAGCATGTAGAGTTTGTACTTTATTACTTTTTTTGTTTTTGTTTTTTGGTACTGGGGGTCAAATTTAGGTCCTTGCCCTTGCAAGGCAGCTGGTGGAACCACTGAGCCGAATCCCCAGCCCTGCACTGTATGATTATTTATTGGTAGGTCATATCAACAACCTGGGTCTATCATAATGCAGAATAGCAGAGAATCCCAGGACCAGGGGTTTGGCTCCGTGGTTCCGCTGCCTGCCTTGCAAGAGCAAGGACCCGAGTTCGATCGCTGGTACCAAAAAAAAAA